CAGAGTTGCAGCCTGGATTAAGAAAAAAAACCCAACCTTTTGCTGTCTCCAGGAAACACATTTAGCTACAAAAGATAAAAATAGGCTCAAAGTCAAAGGATGGAAAACAATCCTACAAGCAAATGGGCCAAAAAAGAAAGCAGGAACAGCTATACTTATATCAGATAAAACAGACTTCAAACTCAAAAAAATAAAAAGAGACCCCAATGGTCACTACATTATGATTAAGGGGACAATACTTCAGAAGAAAGAAATAACACTCATTAACATATACTCACCAAACGAAAGAGCACCAAAATATATCAGACAACTGTTGTCCTCTCTGAAAACAGACATCAGAGAAAACACATATGTAGTGGGAGACTTCAACACACCACTATCAACAATGGATAGATCAACAAGACAAAAAATAAGTAAAGAAAACTAAAGCTCTAAATAAGGACCTAGAGCATTGGGCTTAACAGACATCTATAGAACACTAAACCCAAAAAAACGGAGTACACATTTTTCTCAAGCGCACACGGATCATTCTCCAGGATCGATCACATACTGGGGCACAAGACAAACATCAACAGATACACCAAGATTGAAATCATACCAACCATCTTTTCTGACCACGAAGGCATCAAACTAGAAATAAATCATAAAAAGAAGGCAAGGAACTATCCTACCTCATGGAGATTAAAAGCCACACTACTGGAAGACCACTGGACTAACGAGGAGATCAAAGAAGAAATTAAAAAATTCTTTGAATTGAATGACAAGGAGACACCAATATCCTAAATGTATGGGATGCAGCAAAAGCAGTAATAAGAGGAAAATATATAGCAATAGAAGCTCACATCAAAAAACAAGAAAGAACTCAAAGAAACAACCTAATCTCGAAGCTCAAAGATCTAGAAAAAGAACAACAAAAAAACCCCAGAACCAGTAGAAGAAAAGAAATAATAAAAACCAAAGCAGAATAAATGAAATTGAAACTAAAAAAACAATCCAAAAGATCAATGAAACCAAGAGCTGGTTCTTTGAAAAATAAATAAAATAGAAAACCCCTAGCCAGGCTCACAAAGGAAAAAGGGAGAAAGCACAAATACACAGAATCATAAATGAAAGAGGAGAAATCACAACGGACACAGCAGAAATCAAAAGAATAATCAGCAACTACTATGAACAGTTATATGGAAACAAGTTCAACAATCTAGAGGAGATGGACAAATTCCTACAACTCTACAATCACCAAAGCTAGATAAAGAAGAAATAGAACACCTAAACAGACCAATTACAAGCAGCGAAATTGAAATGGTAATTAAAAACCTCCCCAAAAACAAAAGCCCAGGACCTGATGGATTTACAAATGAATTCTACCAAACATTCAGAGACGAATTAGTGCCTATCCTTCACAAACTCTCCAAAAAAAGAAGGAAGGGACAATACCAAACACTTCTATGAAGCCAATATTACACTAATACCAAAACCGAAGGACCAACACAAAAAAAGGAAAACTATAGGCCAATCTCCCTAATGAACACTGATGCAAAAATCCTCATAAAATTTAGCTATCAGAATCCAACAATGTATCCATAAGATAATTCACCACGACCAAGTTGGATTCATTCCAGGGGCACAAGGATGGTTTAACATCCGAAAATCAATCAACGTTATCCAACACATCAACAAAAAAAATATAAAAACCATATGATAATATCAATAGATGCTGAGAAAGCTTTCGACAAAGTGGCAACACCCATTCATGATAAAAGCCCTTGAAATTCTTGGATACAAGGAACATACCTCAACATCATAAAGGCCATCTATGAGAAGCCAACAGCCAGTATCATTCTCAATGGTGAAAAGCTGAAAGCAATTCCATTAAGATGTGGAACAAGACAAGGATGTCCACTCTCACCACTGCTTTTCAATAATACTGGAAGTCCTAGCCAGAGCAATAAGACAAGAGAAAGACATCCAAGGAATCCAAATAGGAAAAGAAGAAGTCAAACTATCACTATTTGCAGATGATAATAATATACATAGAGAACCCCAAAATCTCCACAGAAAAACTAATTCAACTCATCAATCAATTCAGTAAAGTGGCAGGATACAAAATCAACATGCAAAAGTCAGTAGCCTTCCTATACACAAACAATAAATCTGAAGAAGAAAAACCAAAAAAACCACCCCTTTTACTATCGAAACAAAAAAAATCAAATATTGGGAAAAATCTAACAAAAGAGGTAAAGGACCTATACAAAGAAAACTATAAAACACTGTTAAAAGAAATAGAAGAAGACACAAAGAAATGGAAAGACATCCCCTGCTCATGGATTGGAAGAATAAACATTATTAAAATGGCCATCCTCCCAAAAGCAATATACAGATTCAATGCTATTCCAATCAAAATCTCAATGGCATTCTTCAAAGAAATAGAACAATTATTGATGAAATTCATATGGAATCACAAAAAACCCCGAATAGCCAAAGCTCTCCTGAAAAAAAAAGAAGGGAATGGAGGCATCACACTCCCAGACTTCAAACTATACTACAAAGCCATAATCATCAAAACTGCATGGTATTGGAACAAGAACAGACATACAGACCAATGGAATCGAATAGAAAATCCAGAAATAAACCCACAGATTTATGGTCAACTAATCTTTGACAAAGGAGCAAAGACTATGCATTGGAGCAAAGAAAGTTTGTTCAATAAATGGTGCTGGGAAAACTGGGTCTCTACATGCAAAAGAATGAAGCTTGACCACTACCTCACACCATACACAAAAATCAACTCAAAATGGATTAAAGAACTAGACATAAGACCTGAAACCATAAAATACATAGAAGGAAATATAGGCGAAACACTACGTGATTTGCACATCAAAGACATCTTTACAGACACATCACCCAAAGCAGTGATAGTGAAGAGAAAGATAAACAGCTGGGACTACATCAAATTAAAGAGCTTCTGCACAGCAAAAGAGACAATAACAAAAACAAAGAGAAACCCCACCAACTGGGAGAACATTTTTGCACCCAACACTAATGATAAAGGACTGATCACAAAAATCTGCAAAGAGCTGATGAGACTCAACAACAACAAAGAAAAATAATCCAGTCAAAAAATGGGCAGAAGAGCTAAAAAGAAACTTCTCTGAAGAGGAAATGCAAATGGCCAACAGACATATGAAAAAATGTTCAACATCACTTGTAATCAGGGAAATGCAAATCAAAACTACCATGAGATACCATCTCACACCAGTGAGAATGGCACATATTAAAAAAACTAGCAACAACAAATGTTGGCGAGGATGTGGAGAAAAAGGAACTCTTGTGCACTGTTGGTGGGAGTGCAAACTGGTCCAACCACTATGGAGAGCTGTGTGGAGATTTCTGGACCTACTAAACATAGAGCTTCCATATGATCCAGCAATTCCACTCCTAGGTATTTACCCAAAGGACACAGAAACATCAATTTCAAAGAGCACCTGCACTCCTATGTTTATAGCAGCACTGTTTACAATAGCTAAGCTTTGGAAACAACCCAAATGCCCAAAAATAGATGACTGGATCAAGAAGATGTGGTACATATATACCATGGAATATTACTCAGCATTCAAAAAAGATAAACACATGCAATTTGCAGCAACATGGATGGCGCTGGAAGGGATCATGCTCAGCGAAATAAGCCAAAAAGAGAAAGAAAAATACCGGATGGTCTCACTCATAGCAGGAATCTAGAAAACTTAAATAAGGGACCAGGAAAATGAATATAAGAAAGTGAAAATCAAAATCAACAAAAACTATGAACCAGAGACACTTTTTGGGGGTGGGGGCGGGAGGGAAGGATTGGGTCAGAATGGGGCGTTTGCAATTATATGGGGGATATAAAAATAAAATTAATATTTAAAAAAAAAAAAAAAAAAAAAAAGATTCCACTGGATCTTTACACTCCCTGAAAGCACCAGGATTGTCTTCACCTTACTGTCAGTGAATTCCCAGGGTTTATATTTGGACTTAGCATTTTACTCCAATTCACTAACATTGGGAATAGCGTTCAGGAAAATTAGGTTAATGACCTCATCATGCTGAGCCTAATAATTCTCCTTATATTTCTCTGATAGCATCACATTTTGATGTTTGTAACATTGGATTCAGTCCCCTTTCCTTGTTTATTTGCTATGGTGAATTACTTTGTTGTAATCTTTTGCTCTTGGTTTTACTATTTTTCTTCTTTGTTTGTGTGTGTTGTATTTAGCTTTGAGAGATTAAGACTCCATGTAATCACTGTACTCTGGCATCTTAATTAGGAATCTCTTATATGTGTGTATATGTAGTTTCTTTGTGTCTCTAAATGTAATTTTCATGAGGATTGGTTGGAGATACATACATACATACATACCACATGTATAAAAACATAGCTAACAAGCACACTGTGTACAGCTTTTAACACAGTGTTTTATTCATATTAATGAATGAATAAAACAAAACCCTATCTGATTTATTTAGTCATTTTCTTGGAGCTGGAAAAGGGTAAGGCCTGAAGAAGTAGGAGATTTGAAATGAAGAAAAATTGCACTATGCATATGTCCAAATAAATAAAGTACTATCAACCAACACTTGATGGTCAGAAATATGTAATTAGAGTTAAAATCACAACTAGTAACCTGAATTAATAGACAACCAGCTAAAGTAAAAGGAGGCAATATGCCAACAAACTGTTTCTTAAATGGAAGTCATACAAAAATGGTTAATGAGCTTGTTATTCTAAGATATATGCATACCTCATTTTATTGTGCTTCAACTTACTGTGTATCACAGATATTATAGTTTCTATAAAGTATGTGGCATCTCTGTGTCAAGCCAACTCTAGTTGGCACCATTTTTCTATGTGTTCATTTCTTGTCTCTATGTCGTATTTAATTAAGGCATGCACATTGATTTTTAGACATAATAGATAAGTTTTCAATTAATAGAATAAAGTATAATGTAGGCATTACTTATACCTGCCCTAGGAAGCCAAAAAGATTTTGTGACTTGCTCTGTTGCAGTACCATGAAACTGAACATGTAATATCTCCAAGGTATGCATGTATTTGTTAACTGGGAAAAAGGATGCAGAGGAATATGTTTTTTACTTGCTTACAAAAGGGATAACACACTGTTGAATACATATCTACAATATTTAGAATTATCAGTAAGAAACTACCAAAACAGAGGCAGACACAAATTAGAAGCCATAAAGGAAAATACTGATGCATTTAACTACAAAAAATGATATACAAACATTCATGACAAAAACACCATTAAATGTGAAAGTGAGTAACCGGAAATTTATTTTTCTAATATATGAGAAGATATAACATACTCAACATATATTGCTAATAATTAATGTGACCAACAACCCAACAGAATAATTTGGTAAAGTAAATTAATAAGTACTACACAGAAAAAGAAATAGAAGTACATATTCATGCAAACATGCTTACACTCAAAGCAAAAACTTCAATTGGATATCATTTCACCTACTAGATCAAAAGGTGTCAGAAAACCATTACCCAGAATGGCACGGGGAACTGATATTATCACTAAATTTGTACAACCTCTTTGAGGGATAATTTGGTAATGTTTTTCAAAATTCACAGTAGCCTTTGATTAGCATTTATACTTTTAGAAATGTATCCTACATATATATTTGCTTCTGGGCATAAAGTATAGCCTTTGCAGCAATTTTTGTAATGGCAAATGTCCAAAACAATCATAATGTCCACTAAAAGAATACTGGTGAAATAAATAATGATGAGTTAGTTGTTCATATAAATAGCCTCAAAAGAATGTGGGATAGGTTTGTGGGGTGATTCAAAACTATCACTGAGGCATGTTGTGTAATATACAAGCGAGATATAGAATAGCATCTCTTGCACAAAAATTAGGGGGGTATACATTTACATAAATGTTTTTTTCACATATCTAGAAAAATATAGCCATTTATAATAATTCCTTGAAAAGATATTGAAGCATGTGAAGTATTTAAAACTCATGGATAGTTAGTTTTTATTCAAAACTATGAAAAGTATAAGGATAAACTTACTGTATAAATGAAATTTCCAAGAAACAAATAGTCTGTTGTGTGACCATCTAGTAATACCATATCTGAAAATTGAAAACAAATTTTATCCTTATGCAGCATGAAACATAGATTTTTAAAGTTATTTTTAACAAAGTAATCCATTCCAGACACCAAAAATATTTAATTATTGGACATAGTTTTAAAGTGCTGTCAGTGAAAATGTTTAATTTTGCCTGTCATAAATGTGATGGTCTTCCATGCCTTACACTCTCCAAAACTGTATTAGGCAACAAAGAAATAAATCATAGAAATAAGTAAATTACAAAGAGTACATGAATGTGCTTATCAAGACCAGCTTAAAGTATCTAAACTGATTATTGAGTTGGGATCAAGCTGGCAGTGGGGAAACGCTGCGAGTAAGTCCTCCCATTAAAAAAAAAGAAATGTTAATAGGGAGGAAAAGAGTCAAGTCCCTGCAAGAACTGGGACATTGAAGATAAACGGGCAACTCTGGCTAACTGCCCAAAGAGGAAAGTTGCCATAAAAGAGGACAAGAAGAGGAAAGCTCAGAACCCTGCTACCCTCCCACACACACTAAGTTGGCATTCTCCAGCCAACAGAAAGGAGGAAAGGAAAAAAAAAAAAAGAACAACCTACAGATCTAGTGGGACACTGAGAAGAAAGGAACTATTTCAGGCACTGCACCCCACGAATGGGAACTGTGGAGAACTGTGCAGGAATTGCCATTAGAGGAAGAAAAGAACTCCTCAGAGACCTACAAATAGCCCAAGGCCAGCCAGTAAGTTTGTGCAGAAAAGCAGCGTGCTCAAAAAGCATACGCGGATCAGGGCTGCCCAGGTCCCCGCGTCCACGACCTAAGTTTGTGGGGAGATGTGGGGGAGCCTTCACTGAGGTGAATGTCCCACACTGAGTAATCAGAAACCAGGCGCCCAGACATGGGAGCGGGGTGCAAAAGGCGCCATTTCTGCGGACACTGAACTGGGCTACAGTCTGCATTCTGTATCTTAGAGATTTGGAACTGAAACCCGGGGCACAAAATTTGGGATGTGGGTTCCCCACGACTACGGGGCACAGAGCAGACACAGCACCCCCACACCGTTGAGGCGCTCCATACCACCCCCACTCTGTTCCCTGGACCCATGGAGAAAAAAACATTTCTGGAAGGTCACTAGGAAAGATCTCCGGCGCCACCTAGTGACCAGAACAAAATCACCAACACCCTGATAGTTGGAAACCAGAAATCCCCAAAACACCCTCAGGCTCTGAGAGAGATTGGGCCATGCAAACAGGGGTAAGAAGGGAAATAAGGGGTGGAGCAAGACCCCATTCTGGAACTGAGAGCCAGGCGCATGATCCAGGGTGGGGATGCACCATAGCAGCAGGCACTGCACAGTGTGACAGCCAGCGTTTTGTATCTGATAACCCTGGAACTGAGACCTAGAGTGTAGAATTCAGGGTGCAGAATCCATACAGCTGTTGGCATAGCACCAGGTGAACATGGGGCAGCACAGCACCCAGCTTGAATAAGAGCCCCTGTGTTGAGGGGCTCCCCTCCACCCCACCTCCATTTCTCAGAGAACCACTGGGAAAAAGCACGGGGCAGCAAGTATGGGTCTCTAGCACCACCTCATGACCAGAATACAATCACCAACTAGTTGATTCCCTGTTGGAACTGAGTAAATACAGAGGGAGGGAACTGTAAGGGACAGTGCCCAGCAACACAGCAACAACACCATGGTGGAGTTTTGGCCTACCAGTGCTGGTCTCAGTCTGGTAAACAGTTTCTGACACCCCTAAAGGAGCACTCCAAAGAGTTGCCCACCAACACCAGTGGCACAATGTCCCAATGCATAGAACTATTTAGAAAGCAAACAACAGGGAGAAGAAAAAATATAAATAACCAAGCAAGCCCGCAGGAGAAGGATACACCACAAAAAGAAATACAGTCACCAGAGCTTAACAATGACATGGAAGAACTTCTCGGCCTGTCAGATAGAGAATTAATGATCAGCATGATTAAAAAGCAGAAAGAAAACAAAAAGAAAAAAATGATTTGAGACAAGTAATCACTGAACTGAAGAATGAAATTAAAATCTTAAGAAAAGAGACTCAGGAGATTAAAAGATTACTAGAGGAGATAAAGAACTCTGGGAAAAACAATGAAAACAGAATCAATGAAATGGAAGAACGGATCAGTACTGTCGAAGATACAGAAATAAAAAGAGCCAAAAGAGACAAGGAGAGAGAAGTGCAAATGAAGAAGTATGAGGATACTCTTAGACAATTATCAGACTCCATGAAGAGAGGAAATGTAAGAGTTATAGGCATTCCAGATAGTGAGGAGAGAGACAAAGGAACTGAGAAATTATTCAAAGAGATAATTGAAGAAAACTTCCCAAGCATGAAAAAGGAGACGAATATAGACATACAAGAAGCAAGAAGAACTCCCAATTACCACAATGAAAAGAAAAGTACAGCAAGACACATAATAGTAAGGCTTGCAAGAGCCCAAGACAAGGAAAATATAATGAAACTGGCAAGGGGGAAGAAACAGGTAACTTATAAGGGAAAAACAATCAGGTTAACTTCAGACTTCTCCAATGAAACATTACGGACAAGAAGAGAATGGAGTAACATATTCAGCAAAATTCAACACAGCAAATGCCAACCAAGAATACTTTACCCTGCAAAGCTCTTTTTCCTCTACGAGGAAAAAATATGGATCTTCTCAGACAAACAGAAACTCCAGAAATTCATTACAACTAAACCCCCACTCCAAAAAATTCTAGAAGTCCTAAAGCCAAAACCAACAGAGGAATGAACAAGAAGAACAGAATAAAGCAAGGAATAAAATCATGAAAAAGACAAACAAAATGGCAAATACAGATGCCGATATATCAATATTAACTCAATGTAAATGGATTGAACTCATCAATAAAAAGACACAGAGTAGCAGACTGGATTAAAAAACAAAATCCAACCTTCTGCTGTCTCAAGGAAACACATTTAACCACAAAAGATAAAATGTGGAAAGTAAAAGGTGGAAAACAATCCTACAAGCAAATGGACCGAAAAAGAAGGCAGAGAACTCTAAAACTCCATAGAAAAACCACTCAAAATAATCAACCAGTTCAGTAATGTAGCAGGATACAAAATCAACATGCAAAAATCAGTAGCCTTCTTATGCACAATCAGTCTGAAGAAGAAGAAATTAAGAACACCATCCCTTTTATAATTGAAAAGAAAAAAATCAAATACTTGGGAATAAACCTAACAAAAGAGGTGAAAGACCAATACAAAGAAAATTATAAAACACTGTTAAAAGAAATTGAAGAAGACACAAAGAAATGGAAAGACATCCCCTGCTCATGGATTGGAAGAATTACCATTATTAAAATGGCCATCCTCCCAAAAGCAATATACAGATTTAATGCTATTCCAATAAAAATGTCAATGACATTCTTCAAAGAAATAGAACGAATATTGATGAAATTCATATGGAACCACAAAAAAATCTTGAATAGCCAAAGCCCCACTGATGAAAACAAAGGAGAAAAGAGATCACACTTCCAAACTTCAAGGTATACTACAAAGCATAATAATTAAAACAGTTTGGTATTGAAACAAAAAGACACACAGACCAATGGAACCAAATAGAGAGCTCAGAAATAAAGTCACACTTATATGAACAACTAATCTTTGACAAAGGAGCAAAGACTATGCAATGGAACATGGACAGTTTGTTCAATAAATGGTGCTGGGAAAACTGGACCTCCAATGCAAAATAATGAAACTAGACCACTACATCTCACCATGCAAAAAAATCAATTCAAAATGGATAAAAGAACTGGACATAAGACCTGAAACCATAAAATATATAAAATAAAATATAAGTAAAACATTACAAGACATTCATCGCAATAACATCTTTAAAACTCATCACCCAAAGCAGTGATAGTCAAGGCAAAGATAAACACCTGTGATTACATCAAATGGAAAAGCTTCTGCACAGCCAAAGACACATTAACCAAAACAGAGGGACATCCCACTGATTGGGAAAAAATCCTTGTACCCCAGTCAACTGATAAGGGTCTGACCACAAAGATACACAAAGAACTCACAGGGCTCAACCAAAACAAAATAAACAATCCAGTCAAGAAATGGGCAGAACTTAAAAGACCTTTCTCCACAGAGGAAATGCAAATGGCCAACAGGCATATGAAAAAATGTTCAACATCCCTTATAATCAGGGAAATGCAAATCAAAACCATACTGAGATACTACCTTACACCAGTAAGAATGGCACATATCAAAAAAACAAGCAACAACAAATGTTGGCGAGGATGTGGTAATAAAGGAACTCTCCTGCATTGCTGGTGGGAGTGCAAACTGGTCCAACCACTATGGAAAGCTGTCTGGAGGTTCCTCAGTCTACCATAAATGGAGCTACCATACGACCCGGCAATTCCACTACTAGGGATCTACCCAAAGGACACAAAAACATTGATTCAAAAGAACACCTGTATACCTATGTTTATTGCAGCACTATTTACAATAGGTAAAACCTGGAAACAACCCAAATGCCCCAAAATAGATGACTGGATCAAGAAGATGTGATATATATCCACAGTGGACTATTATTCAGCAATAAAAAAAGATAAACTCATGCCATTCGCAGCAATGTGGATGGAGCTAGAAGGAATTATGCTCAGTGAAATAAGCCAGAAGGAACAAGAAAAATATCAGATGGTTTCAACTTATAACAGGAATATAGGGGAACCAAATAAGACATCAGTGTAAAAAAAATAATAACAGTACAAAACACAACAAAGCAAAAATAGACAATTATAAACCAGAGACATAATGCAGGAGAGGAGGAGGAAGAGGGATCAGAGAGAGGGAGGGAGGAGCACAGGGGTCTGTGGTGATGGTGCACGGGTGCCTTGGAGAAGGAAATTCTATGGGGACTCAACCTGAGGGGGTGGAGGGAAGCAAATATTGTTTAAAAAAATAAAAATAATATCTAAACCATCTAAAAGAATCTTCAAACTGAAGTCCAAATAATACAGAGTGATACTAGGCACAAAGAGATTTTTTGAAAAGATTTTGTCATGGTTTTTAGTCTATTTTTCCAGGATTACTAAAATAATAACTTGAATATGTAATTTGAAATTACAATAGAATTTCAAATTTTCTTCAACTGTTGCTAAGTCTAATATAATCTTATATTTTCATTCACTATAAAGGGTTAGTATTAACTCAAGATTAGGATGATTTATTCAGATCTTATAAAAGTAAGAAAATTTTGAACAGTAGTGATGAAAGAGGCCATCCTTGTACCTGATATTACAGAAGGAATGTTCAGCTTTCACCACTGAGTATGATGTTAGCTGTAAGTTAGGCATATGTGGTTTTTATTGTGTTAAGATATGTCCCTCTAATACTCATTTTATTGAGAATTTTTATCATAAATGGATATTGGATCTTGTCACATGGTTTTCCTGCATCTGCTGATAGAATCTATTGATATATATTTTTTCATTCTATTTGTTCACGTGGTGATTTACAGTCATTGATTGCATGTGTTTAACTATCCTATATCCCTGGAATAAATCCCACTTGGTCATGATGTATGACCCTTTTAATGTATTGTTAAATTTGATTTGCTAGGATTTTGTTGAGGGTTTTTTGTTATCTATATTCATCAGAATATTGGCCTATAGTTTTCTTTTTTGTGTGATATCCTTGTCTCCTTTTGGGATCAGTAATATCAGATTCAGAAAATGTGTTTGGAAACTTCCTTCTTCAGTTGTTATTTTGAAAATATTGAGAACAGTAGGTTTCAGTTCATCTTTAAAGATTCTGGCAGAACTCAAGAGTGAAACTATCTAGTTGGGTTTTTGTTTGTTTGTTTGGGGGAGGGGAAACTTGATTATTCTTTCACTTTCCTTGCTTGAATTGATATGTTCAGGTTTCTTGGTATGGTGTATGCTTCTAAATTTTTTTTCCCCATTTCTTCTAGGTTATCCTATTTGTCGGCATAAAGATGTTCATAGAATGCCAAGACTTGGGGTGAGCTGCATGACTGGTGGAGGCATCAGCCCTTGTCAGCACTTGTCAGCACTTGTTACTATCATTTTGATTACAGCCATCCTAGTGAGTATCAAGTGTTATCTACTGTAGTTTTAATTTGAATTTCTTTAATTATTAATGGCGTTGAGCATCTTGTCATGTGTATATCAGTTATTTGTAAATATTTATAGTACTGTTTGTTAAAAACCTTTGTCCCATTTTTAAAAATTGGGTCGTTTATCTTTTCATTGTTAATTTGCAAGCATGTGCTATATATTCCAGACAGAAATTCCTATTTTCTATTTACTATGTAATTTTAAACACTTTGCTCCATTTTGTGGTGTATTTTCACTTTCTTACTGGTGCACTTAAGCACAAATGTTTATTTTAATGAAGTCTGGTTTATTTACAGTGTTGCTTGTGTTTTGATGTCATATTTAAGAAATGTTTGTCTAAATAAGATCCTAAAAATTATTCCTATACTTTCTTCAGAAAGTACATGATGTAATTTTGCTTTTGCTGCCTAACATATATTCTCTTTTTATGACTTTCAACACTTAGTTATAGTGTGTCTGTGTATAGATCTCTGCATTTATCTCACTTTTAGTTCATTCGGTTTCTTGGATGTGTAAATTAATGTTTTTTCAACTAATTTGAAACTTTTTAGTTAGTATTTCCTCAATTTTTTTTCTCCAGCATTCTTTTTCTCCTTTTGCGTTTGGTCATTACTGAGTTGGTATATTTAAAGACTTTTCACATTTCTCTGAGGCACTGTTCATTTTTCTTCATTTTATTTTCTCTCTGGTCTTCCAGTTGCATACTCTCAATTAATTTAACTTTGCTCATTGTTTCTTCTTCCATTTCAAATTTACTGTTGAGACCTTCTAACAAACCATTCAATTAGATTGTTTTATTTTTAAATTCCAAAATTTTCATTTGGTTCTTCATTATAATTTCTATCTATTTATTATCTCTATTTGATGTGACATTGCTGTCATGCTTCAATTTTATGCATGATTTCCTTTAGGTTTTTGAACATATTTATAATGACAACTTTGAACTGTTAAATTTGACATCTGGACCCTCTCACAGGCAGTTTGTGTTGACTGTCTTTTTTTTCCACTTATATGTTATATAGTCCTGCTTCTGTGCATGCCTTATAAATTTCTGTTGTTGAATATGGGACATTTTACATACTATATTACAGGTACTCTTGATAATCATAGCCCTCCCCCAAAAGTATAATTATTGATGTTTGTTTATTTGTTTTGTGATTTGGGTAGCCTATTTATATATTTCCCCCATTTTTTTCTTTGGCTTAATTTCCAGAGAAGTTACAGAGTTGTGTTTTTATAGTTTTAACTATCTATGTTTAATTGGATGAGGAGTAGGTCCACAGACATCCTTAGACTGCTATCCTAGACGTGGAACTAATTGTCATCAACTTCTTACTTTTCTTTATGTATTCTTGGCAGCTGAAAGTTTTGCTTATATTTTACAGATTAGAACTTTATCAATGTTATGAAAGATTCATTATTTTAATAGCATAAACCAACACAACTCAACTAAATTTTTAAAAAATATATAAAAGACAGAGACATATCACTAATAACATGATAAAAATTAAATTTTATTAAAGAAAATAAATCACACCTTAATTTTTGGTTGTGAATTCATTACACACCACTAATATACGTCATAAATATGTCTTAGACTTCTGGATTTATTAGACCAAAACCAGTTTTGAGAAAAACTGTATGTCAGGGAAAAAAGGACTAATAATAAGGTAGAAGGTTCAGTTTATGATATTGTTAGACAGGTATTACAGTCTAAATTGAAGCAAGAAGTTTGGTAAGTAAAAACAATAACTAAAGTACACATAAATTTCACCATTGTTTGACAGGAGTCATTGAAAATTTATCAGAGCTATTGAGTTATTCATCAGACTTTGCATATGAAAACCTAACAACATTAATTCTCAATTTATACATGTCAGAAGGAAAAAGAATGGGTCCTAAAAATCAGCACTTAAATGTTCAAACTATCACCTGCTAATTAGAGGAATTCTTCATACTAATTTTTTGTTTCTAAATTCTTTTCCTTCATCTCTTTCTGTAGACACACACACACACCACTACCACCACCACATACCACATATGTAGAAACATTAACTCCAGTGAGAATATGTTCTTTGCTGAGTAGTTAAAACAATGAAATTATTACCATGCTCCAGCATCTTTGTGGGCAACCAGAAGAGAATTAAGGAGTGAAGCAAAGCATGTATGCATTCAACGCAAAACACCTGAAACAAAACAAAGCAAAGTCAAGATAGTACCTTTATCTAAACTAAAAAAACAAAAAGTGATATTCTGAAGTATTTTTGACTTTGCAAAACATAATTATAAAGCTAAAATGTTTTCCAAGAGATCAAAAAATTGGATTTCTCTATTCCAATTTAAAAAGAAGTCACTGCACATTTATATGATAGTGTTATTTTAAAAATACTTTTAAATATGAATGTATAGAATGCAAATATAGTATACTTGTTTTAATAAATTATAAAAATTTAAATTATCCAGCAGAACAGAATCAGAAATAATTTTAAGAGAACTATTAAACATTTAAATTTTTAACTTTAAACATAATTTCATACTAAATTTCATATTGTCATATCTTACCCTGACTCTAGTTAGTGAAAATAACTTTTAACAGACCTAAAGGAAATCTTAGTGGGCCTCCCCTGGTGGCACAGCAGTTGAGCGCTGGGTTGCGAGGCTGCCTGCAGCCTCTGCAGCGCCGGTTCGATCCCCGGCCACTGGCGAGGGTCCCACAAAAAAAAAAAAAAAAGAAAAAAAAGAAAGAAATCTTAGTAATACAAAATCTTCAAACTCAAAAACTAAGTCTTTGCTCTTTCCACTGTAAATATGCCAGTTATTTTTATCTTTGCCAAAAAGAATTCTCCACAAAGAACCAGAGAAAAGGAGAATGTAGAAAAACATATTGGTCTGTGACATAAATTTCTTGGAGTAATGCATATTTTAGGAAAGTATATAAGAAAGTGGTTCAAAAAAAAAAACTAATACCAGATTTGGAAAAACCTCAACATTTATGGAATATTGAGTAGGGTACATAGAAAGTTCAGTCTCAGTGAAAAAAATATTATTCCCAGATGAAGTACTATTCTGTTCTAACATTTTAAAAGCCAGAGCCAGAAAGATGCTTTAGGTTTTATATCCACATGTTTAGTCACTTTTGAGTTTTTGTGTATAGAGTTAAGTATGAATCTATTTTCATCTTTTTGCATGTGGCTATTGATGTTTTCCAGTACCATTTATTAAAGAGGCTATCTTTTCTTCATTATATGTCCATAACTTCTTTGTCAAAGATTAACTGTCTGTATTTGTGTGGGTTTACCTCTGGCTTTCTATTCTATTCCATTGGTCCAAGTTTCTGTTTTTGTTTCACTACCATCCTGTTTTGATTACTGTTGCTGTGCAATGTAGTTTGCAATAAGGAAGTGTGATACCTCCTGTTTTCTTCTTTTTTCTCAAGACTGCTTCAGTTACTTTGGGACCTTTTGTAGTTCCACATAAATTTAATATTTTTCATTATATTTCCTTGAGAAACGTCATTGACCTTTCTTATGGTTGTTGACCTATCTATGGTCAACTGAGGTATAGATCATACATCTGAGGCATCTGGAGCGGAGAGTACAATGGACTATGATGAAGAACTGTGGGTATTTCAGTGGTACAAGAACTATGGTGACAATATCCAAGTGGAGAAATTCTATAGTGTTAAAAAATTCACAAGGATATAAAATAATGATACTTCATTAATATATATATATTTAAGAGAAAAATCAGAGAAAGGAACTTCACAATAGGTAGTACATTGAATCTGTAATAGCGTTATGTGATTGGCCATTTTAATGAATTAATTCCTCCAATCCATGAACCTAGGATATCTTTCCATTTCTTTGTATCTTCTTTTATTTCCTTTAACAGAGTTTTATAGTTTTTAATATATAGGTCTTCCATCTCCTTCCTTAAGTGTATTCCCAAAGATTTCATTATTTTTTGGTGTGATTATAAATAGGATTGTATTCCTTATTCTGATATGCTGTTTGTAGATAGAAATACAACTGATTTTTGTTTGTTGATTTTTTATCCTGCCACTTTATTGTATTCATTTATTATTGCTGAAAGTTTTTTTGTAGTATTTTTTGTTTTCTCTAAGTATATTAGCATATCATCTGCAAATAGTAACAGTTTCACTTTTTTCTTTTCCAATTTGGATTCCTACTATGTCTTTTTCTTTCATAATTGCTTTTGCTATGACTTCTAGTACTATGTTGAATAATGCTGGTGATAGTGAACATCCTTGCTTGTTCCTGATCTTAGTGGGGATGCTTTCAGATTTTCATCATTGAATATGATATTGACTATGTGTTTATAATATAAGGCTGTTTTAAGTTCCATTTATTCAACCTAAATAAATAATGGAGTACTAGCTAACTATAAAAAAAAAGATGAAATCTTACTGGCTGAGACAACATAGATGGAACTGGAGAGAATTATACTAAGTGAAATAAGTAAGAAGTAGAAAGACAAATACTAATGGTTTCACTCAGAGGTGGAATATAATAAACCACACAAATGAACAGACAAAATGAAACCAACACAAACCCCAGAAATCTGACTGTACAAATCAATTGTACAATTGATGCTACCAGAGTGGGATGTGTAGGAGAGGAGCGCTGTGGAGAAGAGGCCTAATGGACTATAGTGAGAGATTGTTGGTGCTTTTGTGGTGGGTGTCGTGTGGTAACATACATACAAACATGTATGAACATATACTCTTGAATCATATGCAGTGTTGTAAAACACTGTACCTCAACAATAAAAAAATACAATTAAAATATAATAATAAAATTAAAAACAAAACCACCAACAAAAGAATGCATACTGCCTATAAGAAACAGATTTTAAAATGAAGACGCAAATAACTTAAAGGTAAAAAGATGAAATATATATATATATTTTAGAAACACTCTATTTTTTATTTAAATATTTTATTTTATATAATTCTTACATCTTTTTTCAACTTTGCACAATGTATGCATTTTCATTTTGGGTATATTCCCCATAATATTGTACCCCTCTCCTTATTTTGACTCTAGTCAAAAGTTAGTGAAAATAACTTTTAACAGACCTAAAGGAAATCTTAGTGGGCCTCCCCTGGTGGCACAGCAGTTGAGCGCTGGGTTGCAAGTTTGTCTCTCGTTTATAGTTGCTTGTTGATTTTGATTTTTACTAGTCTTTTTCCTGGTCTCTTATTTAGATTTTCTAAATTCCTGCTATGAGTGAAACCATCCGGTATTTTTTTTTTTCTTTCTGACTTATTTCGCTGAGCATGATCCCATCTAGCTCCATCCATGTTGCTGCAAACTGCATGTGTTTATCTTTTTTGATTGCTTAGTCATATTCCATTGTGTATATGTATCACATCTTCTTGATCCAGTCATCTATTTTTGGGCATTTGGGTTGTTTCCATAGCTTAGCTATTGTAAATAGTGCTGCTATAAATATAGGGGTGCAGGTACCTTTTGGAATTACTGTTTCTGTGTCATTTGGGTAAATACCTAGGAGTGGAATTGCTGGATCATATGGAAACTCTATGTTTAGTAGTTCAAGAAATCTCTACACAGCTCTCCTTAGTGGTTGGACCAGTTTGCACTCCCACCAGCAGTGTAGGAGAGTTCCTTTTTCTCCACAACCTCGCCAGCATTTGTTGTTGCTAGTTTTTTAGTATGTGCCATTCTCACTGGTGTAAGATGGTATCTCATGGTAGTTTTGATTTGCATTTCCCTGATTACAAATGATGTTGAACATTTTTTCATATGCCTGTTGGCCATTTGCATTTCCTCTTCAGAGAAGTTTCTTTTTAGCTCTTCTGCCCATTTTTTGACTGGATTATTTTCTTTGTTGTTGTTGAGTCTCATCAGCTCTTTGCAGATTTTTGTGATCAGTCCTTTATCATTAGTGTTGGGTGCAAAAATGTTCTCCCAGTTGGTGGGGTTTCTCTTTGTTTTTGTTATTGTCTCTTTTGCTGTGCAGAAGCTCTTTAATTTGATGTAGTCCCAGCTGTTTATCTTTGCCTTCACTTTCACTGCTTTGGGTGATGTGTCTGTAAAGATGTCTTTGAAGTGCATGTCATGTAGTGAGAAACACTCTTTTTAAAAAGAAACTGATGTGGTTATGTTATGCTTAAGGTAAATTTTGATCAAAGAATTTTACCAGGAATAACAGGTAATTTCATAATGAAAAAAAAAGGTCAATAAATGGAATATAGTAATTCTAAACTTTTATTCACTAATAAGACCATCAACATGTATGAAACAAAGCTAATAGAACTTCAAATGGGATCAAAGTTAATTCAGCTATAGTTGGAGTAATAGAACCTCTCAATAATTGATCGAAATATTGGACAAAAAAAAGCACTAAAGATGTAGAAGTTTTGAATAATGCTATGAATTTAAGCTAAAACCTTCATTCTTTTTTTTTTTTTTAAAGATTTCTTTATTTATTTATACAAGCACTGGATCCGGTCAGAAGCGCGGTAGGGTGAGAGAATTCACCAGAGCCAGAATGGGGAACAGAGCAGGCAGACCAATGAAATACACTGCTGCGGGGAGCAGTGGGCACATCAGGAGAGGTCTGTGCACCATGTAGGACTCTCCCTGGTGGCCCAGGATCGAACCGGTGCTGCAGAGGCTGTTGGAAGCTTCGCAGCCCAGCGCTCAACCGCCTGCACCACCAGGGGAGGCCCAAAACCTTCATTCTTTTCAAGCAAAGATGTAATATTTCAAAGATAAATTATATTCTGAGACATTAAACAAGTCTCAATACCTTCTAAAAGGTCTATATTTCTCCCAGGTGTCTACTTTTTCATTAAAGCTTCACAAATGATTGAAATGAAGTTGGGTTTACGCTCATAGTCAATAAATTCCTTTTAACTTTTCCGCTTAACTCTTATAACCTAAGAAGTTATCTTTCAATGGAATCATTTGGAATAATACTATCACCAAATTCAGACGCTCTTTTATCTTTTCCAGGACTGTTCATTGTACACCACATATGTCCTGAAGTTCTCATTGCATAATCTCTGAAATCACACATGAGGCCTTGTTTCTTTTTCTCAAAACTTCCCTCCCAGACATTTTTGGAATTTGAACCTCAATTACCTGAATAGGGAACTAAAAGGAACTAAAAGGGAAAGGATGGCACAGGATTTTATTGTTTGTGTGTTAAAAAGTATTTTCCCTAAAATAATCAGGAAAGAGACCAGTGGTACCATGCAATAAATTTGTTTACCTTTGCGCTAAAAATTTTCGCTCCTTGAGAAATTGTGTAGAGTTGTGGATACTTAAACAGGCTCTCTTGACTGCAGCACTTATCAAAGATGCCCAGAGTAAAAGGTGGTAATGAAGTGAAAATCTACACAGAAAACAAGGTTCTCTTAAAAAGAGCTTTAGTCTTTAAGTTAAAATATTTACAATCAATTTCCTGGCTCTCATAGTGTTTTATGATTATTAAGATCTCATCATGATAGAGATTGGGTGAAGGGTACACAGAACTACTTTTTGCAAATTCTGGTAATTCTTAAAGTATTTTAAAATAAAAGTTATTTACAGAGAAGCTACTATTAAGTCATATATATTCCAGAAAAATGCATCATATCATGACTTAATTTTTCTGACTGATCTACTCCTGTGATTCAACAGCTTGTCTTCAACTCATATGACACTTTGACTTCCCTTTGGATCCTTGAAATAGTCCTTCTCTCAGCTTAATGTCTAATTAAGTGTCTGAAACACATGGTTTTTATATATTTTATTTAATACTCTAATTTTTTTCCTGGTAGGAGAGCAACTTCCATAGCAGGTAGTCATAATGGGCAGGAGCAAAATAGTATGATTTCTAAAAATAGGATGACAATTGATTTAAATTTAGTTATCAAATAACTGGACAGAATATATCTCTGGTTTTGCTAGTTACTATTTGAAAGGTCCCAGTCCTCATTTTGTTCCATTTGTAAAATGAATGTGCAGTGGGTAAGATTTAGTAAGTCAAAGAATATAATGTATGTTGTTATATTTTATCATAAATTGTCCATAATTTTAAGTTTCTCATTTTACTGGTTATCTAAAAAATAAGCTAAATCTGTGCTTTCCTTTAAAAAAAAAAAAAAAGATCCCATTGACCAACATATCACAGTGATTTTTCTAATACAGAGGAAAGACTCTGTTGCTCCCTACTGCAGGCTTTAATGAAACTTTAAAGAAAATTGATCATGGTCATATATGATGTAGAGCCTGGAAAAGAGAACCCTACGTATGACCTCAAGCTTATTGGTATAGCGTTAGAGCCAAATACACCTAGCCATTAACATTTACACAACTGCAAATATTGATAGAACTACATGCTTTGATGTTTTTGGACACTCAATTCCTCTGTCCAGTGACCTGTCAGTGCGGTATGTTTTAAAAATTAAAGTTCTAGAAGACAGAATTTAAGGATTAGGACACATGACGTCCAGAGTAGCGAGTGATTACAGTAACGTCGTACAGAAGAGAGGGTGTGATACGATTGCCAGGAGCCTAATTTTTATGCTGTCCTTAAAGGAGAATAATAATGAAGAAAAATCAACCAAAAATTAAAAACCTGTATGGTTAATAAGCTATCTAGCCATGCTGTTTACTCTATTTCTAATTTTTAAATTTAAGCAGCATTAAATAATGGTTTGGGATTATTTTTAGAAAATTCAATTAAAGTTTCAAAAATAGTACTTGTAGTAGGGCTTGTTAACAAAATTTAACATTTAGTACAGATATAGGGCAATATATTTCCACATGGACAAATATTCTACATCATGAGATTTAAAAACATGTAATTGTACTTATGAACACACACACACACACAGATGAATTCCATGTATTAAATGGAATGGGTTTAGGTAGAGTTCAGCAATTTTACTTGCTTTAAAAGCATGAAAACATTTTCCAGTGTCAGATATATTAGTAAAATACATTTATTGCAAATTTCATGCAGTCACTATGGAATAACCTGCTCTGATTGAAGATACCTGTGGAGAGTTTAAGTTCCCACAAGATTTGTCACAAGAGCCCTAAAAATGTATTGATGCTGCTTTCTATGTATAGAGATGATTGACTTTGACACATTTCTCAGACTCAACAGTAAAAGAATGTTACTGAAGTTTTGTGTGGAGAATGCTTGCTTACCACATTGTATAAGCTGATGCACCAACGTTCAAATATAATCTGCCCAGAAAATGCACTAACAAAGGCAAACCAAAGCTGAAAGAGAAGGAAGCCAAATGAAGTTTTATGTTAGTGTTGACCTAAATATACCCATATATTTAAAATATGTATTAATTTATATTAAATATATCCATATATTAAAAGGTACAGAACATGGAGACCTCAGTGGGCAGAACTGCTAGAAAAATAACCAGTGAGAGGGTATGCAATTATTCTTTCACAAATTATGAATTTCAGATACCATCTATTACTGATACTAAAAATACTGATGTACTTCATGTATGTTTATATCAAAATATGAATTTCTGGCAAAACCTCATTTGCAAATAATCTCAAATCAAGTAATTAAGATTTACTATATATATTTTTTATAAAGATTTATTTATTTATTTATTTATACAAGCACTGGGTACAGTCAGAAGTGTGGGAGGGTGAGAGGATTCACCAGAGCCAGAGCAGGGAACAGAGCAGACAGACTGACGAAACACACTGCTGAGGGGAGCAGCGGGCACTGCAGGAGAGGTCTGCTGCGCCATGTGGGACCCTCGCCGGCGGCTGGGATCAAACTGGTGCTGCAGAGGCTGCGGGCAGCTTCGCAGCCCAGTGCTCAACCGCTGCGCCACCAGAGGAGGCCCTACTATATGTTTTATGTTGGCACAGTTAGCAGAACTATCCCTTCTCAATCACAGTGTTTTAATAGTAAAAGCCAGTATATATTGTGCAATTCTCACATACCTGCCACTATTTTGTTACCTTAAATGCACTATTATATTTAACCTAAAAGCAACAATATTAAGTAAGTGCCATTACTACTTTTATTAAATTTAAGAACTGGAAACTATGGCTCAGAGAGGTTAAATTATGCACTAAGTCACACTGCTATTAAGTGGCAGAGAGAAGATTAGTACCTAGATCTACATGAGTCAACTTATATGTTGGAGGTGCTGTGTTAAAATGTGTCATAAATTAGAAAAAGATTCCCTTTTATTTCACTTCATAGTTTGAGATTATGAAGATAATAACTCAATTCCATCTTTTCAGCTACAAGAGGTAGTTATAAACATGCAGTTTATGATCAGACATACCTGGGCTAGAATCCCATTTCTGTCACTTTCTAGCTCTCACTGTTCAGTGAACTTAGACAAGTAATTTAGCCTCCTTCACTCTCAGTTTCTCATAGGATTCGCAAGTTTTAAGTAAGATAATACTTTTTAAATGATTATCATAGTGTTTGACCTATTGATTGACCTATTGAATAAATATTACTTTCTTACTTAGCCACATATTAACAAACATAGAAGTTTTTGAAAAATGCCTCAAATTTCCTTACAGTGAATTGTAATTAGCAACATAATACTTTGTAAAATACAGCTCATGGTCTGCAGCACCTTGCAGTTTAATTGGTTTATATATAATCACGCAAAAACAACTGGATGGTAATAAAATGCAGTTTTAGCATTTTATAAAATGCAGTTAGCATTTGCTAACTGTTTATGACACTGGAGTTCTACTAATATCATTCTTTACTGAAGCAAGGCATTTCATTGTAATTATTTGATAGAGAATTAATAACAAATAACTAAATATTCTGAAATTAATGGATAGCTTTCTGTTAAGCTCACTTAATCTCTATTTTATTCACATTTTGGCAAAATCCCATTTGATAACATGATAAAAAGTGATAAATAGAAACATTATAGAAAAGACATCAGTACTCTAAATTATACTTAACTTAATTCCAATTAAAATCCCCATAAGATAGATGATAATGATGTATCAGTATTAATTTCCTAATTTTGATGACTGTTCTGTGGTTATATAGGAAAGTATACTTTTTTTGTGGAAGAATGAACAGTGGAGCTTTTGGGGTTGGTAGGGTATCATATGTGCAGCCTGCTCTCAGATGGTTCAGAAAGAAAATTCTTGGTAATAGTATGGTAACTTTTCTGTATGTTTGAAATTATTTCAAAATAAAAAGGGAAAAATTATACTGTGACCTATAAAAAAAACACAATTTTTGTAAACATAGGAAAGCTTATCCATTAAATATAAGGTATGCTTATCTATTAAATATAAGGTATTTAGGAAAAAAATACATAGAGGAAAATCTTTGGGATCTAGAGCTAGGCAAATAGTTTTTGAGATGATACCAAAAGCATGATCTATAAAGGGAAAATTTTATAAATTAGGACCACATCAAAATTAAAAACTTTTCTTCTCTGAAAGACTTTATTAAGATAATGAAATTATGAGATAAAACTCAAAATATTTACACTACATATTTGACAAAGGACTAATATCTAGCATATTGTGAGGAACTCTCAGAACTTAACTGAAAAAAAAAATCCAATTAGAAAATAAACAAAAGGTATAAAGTGATATTTCACCAAACAATATATGCAGATAGCAAAATAGTTCATGATAGTTCACATTCAACATCATTATCCACTAGGGAAATGAAATTTAAAGACACAATGAGATACCACTACACATCTATCAGAATAGCTAAATAATAAATAGTGATAACACCAAATAAGATACTTTGCTGGCAGAGATGTACTCCAGTTCCCAAAAGGATATTTTTAACTGCAGTCTATGCCAATAAGTCATCATAACAAGATTTTTTTTACTGAATCAATTTTATGTGAGCAAAAACTTAAAGCAGGAATATGTGATTGTAGGTTAAGTGAGATAACTATGAAGAAACTAAACTCCTTAAGTAAAGAAAGCATATATCCTTTCTTACCTCAATAATAAATAGAACGATGTTCTTGTAGAAACAATATAATATACATTTGGTCACTCGAAAATAATTCCAAACCCCGTGAACCAATAGAAGCTTCTCCAAGTAGCTAAACTAAAAGAAAGAAATGACAATAAACACAATTTCTAAGAAACCTACTACTTAGTGACAAAAGCCACAAACTATCATATCATTTTTGTATGTTGGCAGTTTTCTCTGTAGAGAATGCAACACAGGTTAATAGAATGAAAACAGTTCTGCAGACAACCAACACAGCGTACACTATAAAGGAATTTTTTAAGCTTCACTTGTCACATAAAAGGATTTGAGTTTAAACTGATATACAATTAGTGCCTTAATCATCAAAAGGGACCAGAATTATTTAATGAAAGGGACACTCAATGGGCCTCCCCGGTGGCGCAGCGGTTGAGCGCTGGGTTGCGAAGCTGCCCCAGCCTCTGCAGCACCAGTTCAATCCCCGGCTGCTCCCCGGCTACCAGAGGAGGGTCCCACATGGCGCACAGACCTCTCCTGCCGCCCGCTGCTCCCCTCAGCAGTGTACTTCGGTCCTTCTGCCTGCTCTGCTCCCCGCTCTGGCTCTGGTGAATTCTCTCACCCTCCCGCGCTTCTGACTGTACCCAGTGCTTGTATAAATAAATAAATAAACAAACAAATAAATAAATAAATCTTTAAAAAAAAAAAAAAAAAAAAAAAACCCCTGGCTCAAACACTGATTTTTTTCCTGATCAGTACAATTGACAATGTCTTATAGGAATCAGTTCCCTATTTCCTATAAGTAATTAAAAAGGAAAAAAGTGATAACATGTAACCTTTGCAATCATTCCTAAGCCTCCTTATCTTCATCTATATTTTCCTTTTCCATAGCATATATTGCTCTGACAAGACAGACTTTATTGTTTACTGTAATAAGTTTGTTTTTCCTCCTAGAATGGAAGCTCCATGAAAGCAGGACTCATCCATTAACTTTGTTCACTGGACAATCCTGAACATCCAAATAACATGCCCAGAATGTGGTAAGTAAAATCAATATTTCTTCAATGAATGAATGATATTCAGAAAAGTTACTCCATAAAATGAAGTAATATAGTAACTTAATGACTCCTAAAATGAAATGCTGACTCCAAAATGGCAGAAGTTGGTACACGTGGGAAAAAAATTACCTTTCAAAAAAGACTTATTTAAGAGTTTGGGGCATGAGGGAACAGGACAGGGAGAGAGGAAAATACTGAATCATGTACTGCATAGCTAAATGGCTAACGTAGATTGGGAGATTACAAAATAAAATAGTGCTCAACTTTAGCACTTGTGACAACATGGGTAGAGCTGGAGGGAATTATGATAATCAACAGAAAGACAAATATTAATTATTTTATGCATGTGGAATATAGAGAAACAAAACCAAAGATATCTGACTGTAGAATTGAATTTGCCAGATGAGGAGGTGGAAGGGAAGGATAGCAAAGTGTGGAAGGCTCCTAGTGGACTGTGGGTTTCTTGGTAGCTGGTGAGTATGGTGTGATAACATACATCTGAAACATATATAGTGTTGTATACCAACTGCACCTCAATAAAAAAATACAATTTAGAATTTTTTAATGTATAAACTGAAAATAAATGAAAAACAAATGAAAATTTTTCTTTATTTTCACCTAGAACTTGATTGCCTTAATTCTTAGCTTTGCAATGATTTATTTGCCGAGGAAAAAAGTTCTACTTAATGGGAAGATTTATAAATATTAAGAAGTTTGGGGAAAGGGAGGTGTATAGTTTATTCTTTCCAGAGAATAAAAATAAGCATTATATGAGCAGAATGTCCTCCTGGTGTGCTCTGATAATTAGAAAGTTGTGCATTACCAAGATGGTTGTTTAACCCACTGTTGCAACATAGGTAAGTGTGGGTGATAGAGAGGGCAGAAATGGAAAACTGTCTACCATAGTACTGGGATAAAATTCATTCTGGGAAAAGTACAAAGTGGTGGACACCATGGTAGAATGCCCTATTCCTATCTCCAGTAAAACCTGCTATTAGATAAAAGTAAGATGGGTAAAAATTGTTGTAGCTTAAAGTCTTATCATTAACCTGAAGTACTCTTTTAATAAGGCTAAAAGCATAAGTTAAAGCCAACTTCCTGCATTAGTGACTGACTTTGTGTGGCATCGTATAGGTGGGTGGAAGAAAAGAAATCCTTAAATTATATGTTATCTGCTTAATTATAAATACTATTGCTATATGACACCCAAGAACTTTAGGTGCAAAGCTGATAAAAGTGTTAAGTTGCACTGATGAGGATGAAGGATGGTCTGGACCTCAGGGCAAACACATAAAACCCTACCTTTCATTTTCCATTACTTTCAAATATTAACTGGAACAATCTAGCAACTCTAAACTCTGGGAGAAGACTGGAACCATGTATTATAGAAATACTTGAGAAATGACAAATGTTTCTCTGGGACACCAGGACATCTTATTCCTACCAGCTTTGTACGCCGATTGTGTTTTATAGTTCAAGGTTTATGCCAAATCATTCCTGAGGCCATAGAAAACACATATTCCAAAGGCATTTAGCAGTTAAGAAAAGGAAACAGATGAAAGTTTTATGTAATCATTTCCTTTTTACCTAAGATACCTTGCTCATAGTCTAGTGACACTTTCCTCATTCTGACTCCCTAGTACATAGGATCCCTAATTTTTCCCAGATGAAAAGCCAAAACACTTAATCCATGAATAAGGAGGAGAATATCAGAAAGAATCTGATTCAAACATTAGGGTAATATGCCTTTTTATCTGTGCTGTAGAATTCTACAGCCACTGTAAAGACTTCATGGGGATGACCTATCCAGAGTTTTTTGGTTATTCTTAGAGAACTATGCAAGAATTACATGTGGTTTCTGAATTTAGCAATAATGAAAAGTGTACTGTTAACTTCTCAAAGGTAATGAAAATATTATGTTCATTAAAGGCAAATATTAATTTATTGATTAAAGTGTTCAACAGTCAAAATGTTAAAATATAGAAACTGAGATGTTCTTATTAAACAGCAAAGGATAATATATAAACATGCAGGGGTTGTAAATTGCAGGGTCATATACTTTCGTTAAATGCCTTCCAAAAAATTATATAGCCACTGTTGAGGATAGTTTGGGAGTTTCTTACAAAACTAAACAAATGCTTATCATATAATCCAACAACTGCATGCCTTGGTTATTTACCCAAAGGAGTTAAACACTTTTGTTCACACTAAAAACTATACATGGTTGTTTATAGTAGCAGTTTTATTTACATTTTTATTTTTTATATATTTCTTACATCATTTTTCATTTTTGCACAATGTATGCATTGTCATCTTGGTTATATTCCCCATCCAATTGCATACCCCTTATTTTGACCCCAGTCCCTCCTCTCCTCCCACCCCCGTAATGTGTGTCTGGTTTATAGTTGCTTGTTGATTTTGATTTTTTCTTTATTATAGTTATTCTTTTTCCTGGTCTCTTATTTAGGTTTTCTAAATTCCTGCTAAGAGTGAGACTATCTGGTATTTTTCTTTTTCTTTCTGGCTTATTTCACTGAGCATGATCCCTTCCAGCTCCATCCATGTTGCTGCAAATTGCATGAGTTTATCTTTTTTGATTGCTGAGTAATATTCCATTGTGTATATAAAACCATAAAATATGTAGAAGGAAATATAGGTGAAACACTACATGACATGCACCTCAAAGACATCTTTACAGACACATTACCTAAAGCAGAGATAGTGAGGCAAAGATAAACAACTGGGACTACATCAAATTAAAGAGCTTCTGCACAGCAAAAGAGATAATATAGTAGCAGTTTTATTCATAAATTCCAAAACTTGAAAATCACCAGACTGTCTTTTTTTTTTAAGATTTATTTATTTTATTTTATACAAGTACTTGGTACAGTCAGAGGCACGGGAGGATGAGAGAATTCACCAGAGCGGAGAGCAGAACAGGCAGAGTGACGAGGTACACTGCTGAGGGGAGCAGCGGGCGGCAGGAGAGGTCTGCCCACCATGTGGGACCTTCGCCGGGTGGCCGGGGATTGAACCAGTGCTGCAGAGGCTGCTGGCAGCTTTGCAAGCCAGCGCTCAACCGCTGCACCACCGGGGAGACCCACCAGGATGTCTTTTAGTAGGAAAATAGGTTTTAAAAAAGCAACTGACAGAAGTCTCAATGCCGTCAAGCTATTGCCAACCACTGTGGCATGAGTTCAATCCCCAACCAGGGAGCTAAGCCACATGGTGCAGCAGAGCTCTCCTGTCTTGCTGCTACTCCCCTATGCAGTGTATTTCAGTAGATTTGCCTGTTCTACTCCCCACTCTGTCTTTGGTGAATTTTCTTACTGCCTGTACCCCAGTTCTTCCATGCAAAAGAAATAAATCTTTAAAAAAAAAAAACAAAAAACTGGGATATATCCAGACAATGGAATATTATTTCAGCACCGAAAGAAATGAGCTATCAAGGCAGAAAAAGATATCAAGGAACCTTAAATGCATATTACTAAATGAAAAAAACCAGGTTGAAGAGGCTAGATGCTTTCTGTTATCTTATTTTTTAACCAAATGATGACAGGGGATATACCATGATTTGTTCACAAAGGGAACAATTAACAGTTATCCAGGAATGGGACACAACTGAGAATCCCACAGCACAATGGTGAAGCTGAAGCATCCCTTGCACCTCAGAGACTAACACAGACTGTATTAAAGGGATACTGAGAGGAACTACTTCTGGTGAATTCTGGGAGTGCTGAGTGACTTTGATGCTAAATCTGAAGTTTACATTTTTTTTTAAGAAAATGCCTGTGAAAGGACAGTGTCTTTTATAAACACACACACACACACACACACACACAAAATAATAAAGAAAAAGATATTAAAAGTCTTTAAGAAATCTTCATCAAGAGACACCACAAAGCAAATCATATGTTGCAGATTGGAGAGACTGGAGGTTAAGAGATTGTAGCAGCTGAATTACAGATTACTGGTGGTGTCATTTGAACGAACTCCATACCAGGTCAGGGGAAACCTTTACTGCTACAAAGTGCATCTGGAGACAAATGAAGAGGACTTCAGTTGTACTGGCAGTTTAACATGTAAAGCAGCTTAAAGACATAGGGTGGACTTCAGGAGTAGTCCAAAGGTATTCAGTTCTCTCCAGGTCAACTTGTAAACCACACTACTCACCTGTGCAATGGAGTAATCTGAGTTGTTGCTCGCCTGCATGCCCTCATTCCCACTAATTCCCACACCTACATGGGCTGTCTGGATCATTCCAACATCATTGGCACCATCCCCAACAGCAAGAGTGATGGCCCTTACGTTTCTTTTAACCATGTACACTATTTCAGCCTTTTGGAGGGGAGATAACCTGAGAAAGATGACAGAAACAACCATTTTTTATGTTCTGGTTAATTTTACTTTATACAAAATGGTTAATAATAATCTACACATAGCCACATTCAAATGGCAGTTACTAGTAAATTTCTCAATTCTTTAACCTTTTTACATATATAAAAAATTCCTATTTATAACTCACAAAAAACCAAAAACAGTAGTTTCTTTAACTTCCAAAGGAAATACATATCTGTACCCAGTTTACAAGGAGATATAAAAGGGGTTTGTCCATTTTCCTCACTACTCCCTGTTGTCATTACTGACTTGCTTTATTAATATACACTATCTAAATGAGAAGAAGAGGTGAACACCTATTATTTTTGAAACCAAATGAAAGCATTTACCTAAAATACAGAATATAGAGTTGCCTTTGAAAATCAAACTATAGTCAAAGAACCTTGAAATATACAAGGAGATATAAAAACATGAAGTTATCAATAAGGAAAGTCAAAGCTATTCTATACTAACAACAATAAACAAGAAACATATTTTATTGACTCGCTTACAATACTATATAATTTTCTTGGGTATAGTTTCATGCCTCAATATGTGTATATGCCACACCATATCCACCACCAAAATTTTAGTGGTATTCATCACTATCAAATTGATCCCTCTACCCATATGTCCTTTCCCGTTGGTAACCACTGTATTTTTCTGAGTGTAATAGTTATTTTTGTTGTTTTCAAAGATGTTTTCTAAGTGCAGAAGTGAAGGGAAAACAGAAAAACCACTTCATTAGAATTATGATAAATTCCCTAGACCAGAGAAATTATTTGGACTTTAAATACGTAGTATTAGGAAATAATTTTTTTCCTGGCTTTATTACATAAGCACATAGAAAAATAGAATTAGAGTCTTTGAATTTAAAAGCTTTATATTTCCTTTACCAAATTTTTAATATTTTTTGTTAAATAATAGAGTCTTTAAATGACTAGTAAACAGGAGTCTGCGCACGCAGGAAAGTGCGTCTCCAGCTCGCCATTTTGGAATAGAGACCTTCCTTCAGTAAAGACTGCTTGAAACCAGGAGAAGGCTCCCTGCGCAGCCAAAGGTGAGCTGGGAAGCACCCCCAAGCCAGGCCAGCAGTCCGAGCCCAGAGTGGGAGTGGGCATCCAGGGCTGGGGCCGACCCCGCGCGAGCAGGAAAGTGCATCTCCAGCTTGCCATTTTAGAATAGGGACCTTCCTTCAATAAAGACTGCTTGAAACTGGGAGAAGGCTCCCTGTGCAGCCAGAGGTGAGCTGAAGGCCCCCACAAGCCTGGTCCAGCTTGGCAGGGAGTTAGAACCCAGAGGGGGATCCAGCAATTTGGAGCCCAGAGTGCAATCCAGCCGCCCCACCTCCAGGGAAGTCTGTGGGACTTCAAGACACACCTTTGGAATTAAACAAACACAGAAGGAGGAGATATTCTGTGACAGTGACCATTAACATACTGAAAGTACCACTGCCTCACTGGACTTCTGGCATAACAGTATTTGACTCTATTGGACGGCCAGTTTCCGAAATCCTAGAAAGAGCACACCAAAAAAGATGCCCGCCAGTACCAGCGACACAGTGTCCTAACACATAGGGCAAATTAGAAAACAGGCAGCAGGGAGAAGAAAAACTACATGCACCTAGCAACTCCTCAGGAAAAAGACACACCACAAAAAGAAAACCACCCACCAGATTGCAACGACAGTGACTTGGAAGAACTTCTGAACCTTCCAGAAAGAGAATTTAAAATTGCCATGATGAAAAAACCGACAGAAATCATTAAGGAAAACAATGCTCAGAAGAATGAAATTGAGTCCCTAAAGAGGGAAATGAAGGAAATGCAGGAGATCAAAGGATTAACGGACGAGCTAAAGAACACTGGGAAAAGCAGTGATAACAGAATAGATAAAATGGATTGAAAGGAATAAAACAAAAAAAAAGTAGATTTTGCTTGAAAGAGTAATTCCTGGGAAACCACTATTTTGACTCAATGTTTCTGGTGTAATGAGTACCAAAGGTGATTCTGTACAAGTAGATTGGCAATTAATCCTTGAGAACACTGGACTGAGAACATATTAATATGATACATACTTACTATTTTTGCTAAAATTACTTTGGATTGAATTTCTTTTATTATCAACATTATTATTATTTCTATTGAGATAACATTGGTTTACCATTATACATAGTTTAGAATTATAGGGTGACCCTCTTTCAGATATATGTGATCATTCACTACCCACCAGCAAGGCACCCATAGTCCTCCAACATAGTCCATCAACCCCTCTCCCCACTTTACTGTCCCCCATTTCCTTCTATGTAGCCTCAATTTTACAGTCATATTTCTAGGGTTTGTTATTAACTTGGTTTTATATGACCCTTTATTTTGATTCTGTATATTCCAATTATAAGTGAAACCATCTAGTATTTGTCTTTCTTTTTCTGACTTACTTCACTTAACGTAATCCCCTTCAGTTTCTAACATGTTATTGAAAATGTCCAAGAGTTCATCTTCCATTTTTTAGCTTACCCTCACTGTAAATAAACTGAGAATCTTTGTTTCCACTGAAGACTTCTTTCAGCTAGTAAATACACTGGTAAACAATTTACCATTGAAAATTGGTTTCTAGTAAATCTTTTTTTTTAAGATTTATTTATTTATGCATACAAGAGCTGGGTACAGGCCAGAGTTGTGGGGGGTGAGAGGATTCACCAGAGACAGTGTGGGGAACAGAACAGGCAGACTGAATGAAACACACTGCTGAGGGGAGCAGCAGGCAAGACAGCAGAGATCTGCTGCGCCATGTGGGTTGTTCCCTGGCCAGTTGGGGATCAAACTCATGCTGCAGAGGCTGAGGATTGCTTCATAGTGCGGTGCTTAAAACCTTGCGCCACCAGGGAGGCCCCTCTAATAAATCTTAAACATAGTGATTTTAATTAAATTCAGACCTTTTATTGCCACCTAAAGCACATGGTTTCCTAATAAGGAACCCTTACCTTTGTAAAAATTTATATTTTGATGTCCATTAAAAGGATACCATACATTAGATGTAATATATGTAAATATATGTAATGTATTTATAAATATATATGGAAAATATGTGGGAAAAAGAATAGGGATGCATTCTTACCTACAACATAATACTGTTCTGCATGAGAGGGCCAAATTGAGGAATTGCTCTATAATTTCAAAATGGAGGGCATACTTCAATGTTTCACCATCAATGATTAGAGCAAGGCCATTTTCTTTATTTAACAAGCTTCCAAGATCTTTACAGTTCTGATTAATTGCTTGTTGTGTTGCCTAGAACAGAGAGGGTTGGGGTTAAATTGCTTTTTTTATATCTAGTAAAATTATCATTCAAATATGTAAGAAAAATAGAATTTCTTAAAAGCAAAAAATTCATTACCAAAAGACAAGTAGTATAAGGAATTTAAGGTTTTTCATGGAACAAATATGATTTATGTCAGAAACTAGCATCTGTATAAAAATAATGCGTCAAAGGAATTAATCTTCAATTTTAAAAACAAGATGAAGAAAATTATACAGTAAAAAATTTATAGAAAATAAATGACTAAAGGGCCTCCCCTGGTGGCACAGCGGTTGAGTGCTGGGTTGCGATGCTGCCCACAGCCTCTGCAGCGCCAGTTCAATCCCCGGCCACCGGTGAGGGTCCCACAAAAAATAAATAAATAAATAAATGACATTATCATCTAATTTTTAAGGGCAATGATGTAAAACTGCAGATTTGTTCTGCTCTTGCATTTTTTAAATTTAATAGAAAATAAGTGATTATAACAATTAACTTTTAAGAACAAGTGTGCAGGAATGGGAGATATTTATTCTTTTTTTACACTTTTAAGATCAAGGAAATGAGTCCTGGGTTTGTTATGATGTCTGGGGATGATTAAGGACTAACCTTAAATAGAGATATAGAACAGAAGACCAGCAGAATATTCGGATTCTTGAGAAGAACTTTGGGGAACACCTAGACTTTCCAGTGGACTTAAGTGGGAGTTCAGGCAATCTAATGCAGGTTTTTAGGAGTAGGATAAGCCTCAAGTAACAAGTGGGCTACACTTATATTAAACATAAATTTTTAAAATCACTTACCTCAAGTGAATTTGTATTCAGTTGAATACGAGGCATTTGACCTGATATCAGTTTGCAGGAATATGCTATAAAGAAAGAGAGAAAAATGATACATATTTGAAGACAGTGCCTTCCAGGGGCTTATTAAAAAATGGATGTTTGTATTCTTACATCATACTATCAGCCTCAAAGCTGCTTAAAAGTCAGGAGGTCATCACAAAAACTGAACAAGGGGGAAAAGATATTGAATCATTTTCAACTAAATAGGAAACAGAAATGGTTGGGAAGGTACATATAGCTAGCTAATGACTAAATCTGTACCTTTAAATTTCTGTGGATTTTTATTTCTATTATCTTTGTATAACATCAGTACAGGTTTATGCTTTATAGTAACTCTAGGTATTTGAGGAAGGAGTGTTCTGTAGTATTAAACCACTATATCAACAGTACTATATCTAGTATACTAATAAGAGCCTAGGTTTGATTAAAAGAAATAAATGTCTGAAATCCTTGTAATACCATTAAGTGTTGCAATAAAGTCATACAACTCAGAAATGCTTTACAATTTCAATTTGAAAATTTTAAGTAATTTTCAATTTAAATATTAAACGAAGAATTTTTAAAAAATCATTATTTTTAACAATATAGAATTTCTCAACTCAAGTGTGGTCACCATAGTTTTCCCACCTCCAAGGCCCCCACAGTCCTCCACCATGCCTTCCCCCAGATTCTCTATGCTCCCCCCTCCCCTCCTGACTGTCTTAGATCTATGGTCTGCTTTCAAGGTTCAGTCTTATAGTTTGTCTTTGTCTGATCCTTTGTTAGGTTTCTCTAGATACCACATAAGTAAAATCATCTGGTATTTATCTTCCCTCTTCTGACTCACTTCTAGTACCATCCATTTGGTCACAAATAACAGGAGTTTATCTTTTTTGATCATTATGTAGTCCATTGTATGCAAGAATTTTTTTTTAATGCAGGATTAACCTGTCCCAGGTTAATGAAACAAACAAAATACAAGCATTTCTAAGAGGAAGTATATAGCATGTCAGGCCCATATTAAGAAATTAAAAAGAGCACAAATAATCAGCCATGTCTCTCATCTCAAAGAATTAGAAAAAGAAAAAAAAAATCTAAAAGCCAGTACAAGAAAGGAAATAATAAAAATTGAAGCAAAAATAAATGAAATAGAAATTTTAAAAAGACAGTTCAAAAAAATCAATGAAACCAAAAGCTGATTCTTTGAAAAAGTAAAAAAATAGACAAACTTTTAACTAAGCTCACTAAGAAAAAATGAGAGAAAACTCAAGTAGGATCAAAATATAAAGAAGTTAGAACAGACACTGCAGATTCAGAGGATAATAAGAAATGGCTGTGAACATTTATATGCAAGCACATTCAACAACCTACATGAGATGGACAGAGTCCTAGAATTTTACAATCATCCCAGATTAAATAGGGAAGAAAGAGACCTGAACAAACTAAACACAAGCAAGAAAATCAAAGCAGTAATCAAAACTTTCCCAAAAAACAAAAGACCAGAACCGGATGACTTTACAAGTGAGTTATACCAAACTATTAAAGACAAAGTAATACCTATCCTGCTCAGACTCTCAGAAAAATCAAGAAAGAAGGAATTCTTCCAAGCACATTTAATGAGACTAACATTATGCTAATTCTAAAACCAAACAAACAACATAAAGAAAACTGTAGACTAATCTCCCCAATGAATACAAACACAAAAATCCTCAAAAAACTTAGCAAACTGAATCCAACAATGCATTAAAAAATTACTCACCATGACCAAGTGAGATTTCTACCAGGAATATAAGGATGGTTCAACATCTGAAAATCAACAATGTAATTCACCACATCAGGAAAAAGAAAAGTAAAAAGCCCATGATCATATCAATAGATGAAGAGAAAGCATTTGATAAGACTCAGCATCCATTTATGATGAAAAATGGAGGTAAATGTAACTTAACACAATAAAAACTATGTATTACAAACCCACAGCTAGTATCCTTCTCAATGGTAAAAAAACTGAGTCTTTCCACTAAGATCTGGTAAAAGACAAGAATGTCCACTCTTACCACTGCTATTTAACATAGTAATAGAAGTCATAGCTAGAGCAACTAGGCAACAGACAGCAATAAAGGAATCTAAATTGGAAAAGAAGTAGTAAAGGTACCATTATTTGCAAATTATATGATAATATACAATGAGAACCCCAAAGACTCCACATTAAAACAATAAACCAATTCAGTAAAGTGACAGGACAAAAATCAGTAAACTTCCTATATAGAAATAAAGAACTAGAAGAAAAAATTAAGAAAGCCATCCCATTTAAAATCTCACCAAAAAAATAATTAAATACCTAGGAATAAATCTAACAAATTAGGTGAAGGAAGGATCTGTACCAGAAAAACTACAGAATATTGTTAAAATACAAAAGACACACAAAGAAATGAAAAGATAGTCCATGTTTATGGATAGGAAAAATCAACATTTTCAAGATGGCTGTGCTAAACATGTTTAGAATACATCTACAAACAGATTTTTAGAACATTTTCCTTGTATCTATTACCTATATTAATTGCAGTTTCTTTTTTATCTCCTGTTAAGACCCATATTCTTATGTTTGCTTTCAGTAAAGCTGTTATTGTTTCTGGAACTCGTGCTTGAAGGTGATCTTCAATGGCAGTGCCTCCAAGCAACAAAAATTCCTAAATGTTTTTGAATGAGAGATTATTTTATTATTGAAGATAAAAAGCATTTTTAAAATGGAATACAGCAATAATTGACAAAATATATACATTCTAATAACGTACAAATTAACTCCCATATACAGATACACACCTTTTATTCCATTCTCTTCCATTGGTCTCTTTGTCCCTATTTCACTATAAATGAGGTAGTGTAATATGGTGGTTCAGAGCTATCAGATTCATCCCCTATCTACAAGTTTTTAGATATGTGATATTAAGTAAATTCTGTACCTCTGTTTCCTCATCTATAACTGAAAAAGTAGGGAAAAATAAGGATACTCATAGAGTTAGTATCTGTAAAGTGATTGGAATGTCTAGATTACAGTCAAAAACCATATTATTTTAATTATTAAACCTTAAGATGCCATGTTGTCAAGAAGAAAACCCCCTTATTATTCGTCAAAAATTATGACAGTTCTTAGCCTCCTCCTACTTCTCTATGAAATTTAGTACAAATTTGTCAAGTTTGGTGAAAATCCTATTGAGAATTTTATGAATTTCTTCAGTGCACTGAATTAATAGATTGCTTTGGGGGAATTGCCACTTTTTTATTGGGTTTCTTTATATATTATGTACAGTCATCATCTATTTATATAGACCTGTAATTGTGTCCTTAGGAGAAATGTCATAATCGTCTCCATAAAGTTTTTACCAACAGAGTGATTATTTTACAGTTTTTGCTCCTATTGTGAATTATTTCCCACTCACTGGAGAGATTCAACAGATAAAAATTTATGTAAACATAAAGACAAATAACTTCTTATAATCTAGAATGCTGTTTCTCTCAAGCCAGCAATCTAAAGCCTCAAGGGATTTTACAATGCTATTACCTTATAGAGAGAAATCATGATAAAACAAGCTGATTCTAGGCAGATAAATAATTGGAATAATATGATTGAAACATTTTTTATAAATGTAAATCAACACCTTAAAATAGCCATCAATTTTTAGTCTTCTTACATACATACTGAATTTTTTTTGTTAAATATTCAAATCAAATTGATCTTTTTAGACATGTCTCTGTTTCCATTAATCTATTTATGTGCCATTTCTGCTTCAAGATATGTCCATATTAATATTTTGTATTTTCATGTAAAATTTCCCACAACAGAAGTATTTTCATTAATGATTTGTTTTTAGATATGAAACAGATTTTTAAAAGAATGCTTTAAACTTTTTCCCGATAAAACATTACACATCTACTTTGGAAACAATGATGTAAACCAATATTAATTCAATTGAAAATATTTTTATTAAAGGGGAGCTTCCTTTATCTGACAAAGGACATCTATAAAAAACCCACGTTTAAAATCATGCTTAATGGAAAAGGACTAGATGCTGCCCTCTTCCCTCAAGCTGGATGCTTTCCTTATGTGTTTATCACAAACAAGATACAATGTTCACCTTCACCAGTTCTATTCAACATTATCCTGGGGTTTCAGCCATGGCAATTGGTCAAGAAAAAGACATAAATAGATGGATCCAGAATGGAAACAAGAAGTAAAACTATCTCTTTTCACAGATGACATAATCTTGTACATTGATAACCATAAAGAATCCTCTGAAACATAATTAGAACTAATAAATGAGTTTAAGGCTATAGTAAACAACATCAATATACAAAAGCCAATTGCATTTCTGTATACATTTATATTCAAGGATCCAAAAGGTGAAATTAAAAAAATAATCCCACTTATAATAGTATCAAAAAGAATAAAATACTTAGGAGTAAATGTAACCAAAGAAGCCTAAAACTTACACTTTGAAAATATCTAAAAATTATTCAAAAAATTAAAGAAGTTTTAAATAAATTATAAATATCTCATGTTATCAAATGGAAGACTAATATTATTAAGATGGCAATATTAACCAAATTGATCTAAAGATTCAATGCAATCTCTGTTGGAACCCCAGTTTATTTCTTTTTAGAAATTGACAAACTGGCTCTAAAGTTTATAGGTAATTTCAAGGGCAAAAACCATCCAAACAATCTTGACATAGAATAACAAAGTGGAATCTCACTTTTTCTTTTTCTTTTTTTGATATTTATTTTATGTAGAACTGGGTTGTAGCTAGAGATATGTGGGGTAAGAGGATTCACCAGAGACAGAGTGGGGAGCAGAAAGGCAGATTTACTGAAATACACTGCTAAGGGGAGCAGTGGGTGAGACAGGAGAGGTCTGCTGCGCAATATGTGGGTCACCTCCCTGGCTGGAGATCTAATTCAGGTTGTAGTGGTGATAGTGCTGACACTTAATCCCTAGGCCATCAGAGAGACCACAGAATCTCACATTTTCTAATTTCAAAAATTACTACAAAGCAATAGTAATCAAGACAGTTTGATACTGACATAAAGATGACATATAGATCAGTGTAATGAAAGTGAGAGTCCAAAAACATACCCTGTGTAAATGATCAAATGATTTTCAGCAAAGGTGCCAGTACAATTCAATATGGAAAGCATGGTCTTTTCAACAAATAGTGCTGGAACAAATGACTGGCCACTTAATAAAGAATTAAGTTAGATGCTTACCTCACACCATAAACAAAAATTAACTAAAAATGTATAAAGCACCTAAATGTAAGAGCTGAAAGTCTAATACTCTTAGAATACAGAAATTTTAAGACATTGGCATAGAAAAAGAGAACTTGTTAGATATGACACAAAAACATGACCAAGACAAGAAAAATGTCACACTTCACCAAAATTTAAAACTTTTATACACCAAGGGCCATCATCAAGAAAATAAAATGAGTACTTACAGAATGGTAAATTATATATCTGGCAAGGGACTTGTATCCAGATAATATAAAGAACTCCCAACTCAATAAAAACAACCCATTTTAAAAAATGAAAGATGCAGGCCTCCCCCGTGGCGCAGCGGTTGAGCGCTGGGTTGCGAAGCTGCCCGCAGCCTCTGCAGCGCCGGTTCAATCCCCGGCTGCTCCCCGGCCACCGGAGGAGGGTCCCGCATGGCGCGCAGACCTCTCCTGCCGCCCGCTGCTCCCCTCAGCAGTGTACTTCGGTCCTTCTGCCTGCTCTGCTCCCCGCTCTGGCTCTGGTGAATTCTCTCACCCTCCCGCGCTTCTGACTGTACCCAGTGCTTGTACAAATAAATAAAAATAAATCTTAAAAAAAAAAAAAAAAAGATAGCAGCTTCCAAAATTAGAATTTAAAAAAAAAAAAAAAATGAAAGATGCCCTTGTGGTTTCCAGTTTAGCAAAAGGCTTGGGATTTGTCACTCTTGTGCTCACAAGAAGAAATAAAATGAACACACTGAAATGAACAGCTCTTAGAGTCACTAGAGAATTCAGGTTAACAGAGATAACTACTGCTTTGAAACTGGAAAGAGAGGTAGATGCCAAGAGTTGTAACTCACTGAAACAGCAGTCCAAGAGTAGAGGCTTTTTGCTAGAACAGTGACTAGTGGGAACACATAACTATTATTGAGGAAATCCTGGAGGCTTGGTGTGAACTAGTTTTAAACTTAAAAATTCTGAGAGATGCTCAGTTTTTGAGGAGCCCCCACACTTTAGTAAATTACTTCTACAAGTCCTAACAAGTTCTCACTCTGAAGACCAGAGAAAAATTCAACAACCCTCCCCTCCTTAATTATGGCAGGAGGAGAATAAAAGTAACCATTTTGAAATACTATCAGTATTTTCTGTTATTCTCAAGAGAAACTATTTTGTCAGAACCTTAACAACTTGGAAATAAAAATATACATCTCCTGCCCCTTTTAGCCTTTGACATAGGCAAAAGGAAATACACAACTCAGGCTCATCAAATGACAGATCTAATCATAGGAATATAGAACACTCTGTCTCACACCTTACCACATCAGTCACTCTTCTGCATGAAAACAGGGATTGCAGATGAAAGAACTGCAAAATTCAGACTCGATTTAAGGGAAAACCATAGACAGCAGAGAACACAAAAACAAGGACACTAGATGAAATTTTAGTGTCTGACACCACAGCTACTGCAAATAGTAACCACAGCCTAATTTCTAACAAGATAAATACAAAATTTCACAATAAAGTCCAGTCTACTTCATTTCTTTTTTCCATTGTACATCAAGTATGACTTTCAACAACAACCAAAAATACATAACAGCAACGAAAGGCAAAAATCAGTCTGCACAGAGTAAGCATCAGAACCAGATTCAGATATGACAGATTTTGGAATAAGTAGGCCAAAAGTTTAAATAGGTATGATTAATATGTTTAGGACTCTAATTGTAAACGTGAACTAGAACAAAAAAGGATGGATAATGTAAGCAGAGAGATAGAAACTCTGAATCAAAACAGAATATTAAAACTATTTTTAAAACAACATTGTAATGAAAATGAAGAAGGCCCTTGATGTACTCATCCTTGTTTGGACACCACCACTGAAAGAATTAATGAGCCTGATGATATCTCAGTAAAAAAAAAAAATCCTGAATTGAAATATACAAAGAAAAAAAGAATTTAAAAAATAGAATTTCATTTGGAAGATTGAAACAAAATCCAAGAACCTTGGGGCAATTACAAAAGGTAATACATGTAATGGGAATACAGAGGAGAATAAAAAGAGAAAGAAAAAAGTTGAAATAATTATTGCTGGAAATTTCCAAAATTAATGACAACAAACCACAGACCCATAAATTCAGGAACACCAACAATAATAATTACAAAAAAAATCTACACACCATTAATAATAAATACAAAAAATCTACACCAGGGTATATCATATTAAAACTGCTTTCAAAGAGAAAAATCTTGAAAGAAGCCACCAAGAAAAAAAAAAATTCACTATAGAGGAACAAGGATTCCAGTTATGCTGAACTTCTCTTCTAAAACCATAAAATCAAGAAGACAGTGAAGTAAATTATTTGAAGTGTTAAAAGAACCACCAGCCTGGAATTATCCAGATAATTTAAATGTGAATGAGGAAGAAATGGTTTTTTAAGCAA